CATCGGCTGTGGGGAGCGCCTATGCTGCATCCCCTCGGTTGATACGCCTGGTCCCGCGTACCCCTTTTATTCTGCCCCAGACAAAGTTTTCATCGCCCGCGGACATCATGAAATGGAAGCGCCTGTACCGCGAATCCCCATCATAGAGCGGCTGGTTTTTGGAGCCGAATTACCATCGTCGTACGAAACACCCGCGATAACACGCCTGGATTTTACCATCGAAAAAGACGAACAACAATTGCTCAACAAAACACCCACACTCAAGAATGGAAACGCCTGAACCGCGAATCCCCTTTCGAAATCATCGTTGGTCGTATCATCGTAAGCGAAGCTACTATCACTCTACGAACACCAAATCAGAAAATGGAAACGCCTTAACCGCGAATCCCCTGTAGAAACTTTCGGTATCATTCGTCGCAAGCAAAATCATTCAATATCACTCACGAACTCAACCAGAAAGAAGCGCCTCGCGGTAACGCCGCGTTGTTGTTGGCCCTCGTTCAAAAGCATAGCAGATTTCGCGGTGTCGCCCTTGCTCCTCTGCGGCAATTCCACGTTCACCAGAATCGCCATGACTGCAATCCTCCAGTTCTCCCGGAGCGAGTACTTTTCCCGCGATCAACAGGCTCGTGTGTTGTGCCGCCCGCTACTCCACCGCCGACGCCGCCGCCCCGTTGCTGCCTTGTAACTGGGCCGGTCCCAACAGGTCGCTCATATTTGTGGCCCCGAAGGATTACCCTCCAGGCTCCACCTCCTGACACCTCGTCCCGTGTGCCCGGGGCAGTCAAGCTACCCCCAGCAGCGCCTTTGCTAGAGCTGCCAACCGTACAGAGAAAGTCGTCTGGAACCCACCAAACCCACCATTTGCAGGGACGTCAAACGCCCGCACCGGTACACCTTCCGTGCCCGATCTACTGCTGCTCTCTCTTCCAGCGGCGTCATCTGTTCTAACGCCAGCTACAGCGTGCAGCTCTGATAGGCAGCTGCCTGGCGGCGAGATTCCAACAATCCCACCGCAGGATGCGGCGCGTCTTCCAGCACCGCCTGGCCCCCCTCGGCTTCCGCAATCTGTTATTGCCTGCAGCAGCGATGACATCTTGTCCATCACCACCTGCATCCAAAATCCCTGCGCATTGCTTCCCAGCGGGGGGCCAGCGGATGGGTGGCCCGGGGAACCTACTCCCCCGACTCCACCGGGTGGCACCCCAAACCGTGTGCCCGGCGCGGCTCCTCCGCGCCCTGCGGCGTTGCCAGCGCCGCTTGACTCCCCCTCTTCTGCCCCCGCCGCCCTGGCAGGCGACATCTGAAGTTGCCCTAGCTTCTCCATGACAGCCGACAGCACCTTGCTTTGCTCCTCGAGCCTCGTGGACAGCTCCGCCACGCGCGTGTCGATCGTGGTTCCGCCGCCTTCGCTCGCTGGAGTGTCGCCAGGCATAATCTCCGCAATGGGGCTCCTTCGAAGGAAACTCTAGAGTATTCGTCAACCCTAAGTGGTATGCCCTTGTTGTCTTTGTAGAGATTGTAGTGCTTGATGTTTAGATGCTTGTTATCTCTCACACCCGGTTGGGGGGAAAGAGCAGGGAGTGCCACGCGCACGCCAGCTGACAGCAGCTGGCGTGGGGGCTCCGCACAATCATTCTCTGGTCATACTACCCAACGCATACCTATGTGCAGTGCACCTGAAACAGTCATCTCGTCTACAGATCCAACTACATACGCACTCACACGAACAGGAAGAAGGGTACGCCTGATGGCTGGAACCCCAAGGGACCGCGCCGGGTGTTAATGGAGCACGACGTGGCGTACATGATCGGCTTCCGGTGAGCAATGCACAGATAGATGCCCCACCCGTGCGCATTACACGTACTCCGTTTTCTTGGCATCCATACGTGTGTAGCTGCATGTTTATGACAAAATTGGCGATCAAACTGCCCGAGTTGATCCATCAGTGATTGTACGCAATGACTGCGTGTGAGACGAAAACATTTCTGGGTGGGGGGATGAGGGCCGAACGAACATACCACCATTATTTGCAAGATGCTAACTTTATGGAACCGAAGGACGTGACACGGGAAGGGGGTAAGAGGCAAGGGGGGGAGGGATAGCAGACAAACAACACGCAGGGAACAGACTGATGAATTGTGAGATGATGCCAAGTCAAGCACCGCAAAACAAGTCGTTGGTGCGTCTGTGGGTGGTACACCAGTCCTTCAAAGATGGCGCAAAGGATAAGACTTCTTGTTATGTCACACTACGTGGTGCATGTGTAGGACGACGTCGTGTCTATTTATCTGCATAAACTAAGAGTTTTCTGCCCCAAGGCCTCGAGCTCAGTTTTGCGTACACCCTCTAGTTGTGGCATGCCCTGCGGGACAAACCGCTATTTACAAGCAGTAGTTCAACAAGAGTTGCCGAGCGCATGTAGCTCAACTCTACGCCGGCCCCATCCTGTAAATATTTGTTGTCGCATTCCCTACAGGACAACCGCTACAAGCAGTTTGAGAAATTCGAGAAGCGCATCCTGGTGGCCACCGATCTCTTCGGCCGCGGCATCGACATCGAGCGCGTGAACATCGTGGTGAACTACGACTTCCCCGACGGCGACGACGGCTCGGACCAGTACCTCCACCGTGTGGGCCGTGCAGGACGGTGAGAATAGAACCGGCTTCTTTTTTTTTTCAGCAGGGAGTCTGGATCGGACCTTGTCTGTGAGAGTAGGCCGCAATGGACGGCCGGGAGTGGCATATATTAAATAATGAAATCAGTAGCACAGGGCCAGCGTGGTCCTAGTTGTAGTACGCGTTTTTCGAACGGCAGCAACGGTGTGTGTAGGCGTGGCATCGATTTTTCTTCAAGCCGATGTTGACTGCCGCAAGGCCGTGACACATGCGTCTTTTTTTTTCTCCTCCTTTATCGAAGTGTGTATACTGCCAACAGCTTGCAGTACCGATCAGGCCGATGTTTGTCGCTGTATCTTTTGCGCTCAACAATTCGTTGTTCTATTTGTATCACGCAAACACTCGCTCTCTCTCTGTGTGTCTCCCTCTTTCCGTTCGACAGGTTCGGCACCAAGGGTCTGTCTATTTCGTTCGTATCGACGGAGTCTGACGCCAAGAAGCTGGAGGAAGTGCAGCCCCGCTTCGAGGTGGACATCCCCGAGCTGCCGGACACGATCGAGACAAGCACGTACATGCAGGCAGCAACTTAAAAATTTACAACATGATCATAAAATGTTTTTAGAAAAACTGAGTTAAGAACCGCGTGCAGGGGAAGGATGGGCCACAAAGAACGGCGACACACAGAAACGGTGCCGGTTCGGTCGAAACGGCAGATGGTGGGGGTGGGTAGCGGCCTTGTGGTGGTTTTCGATTGCTCTGTTGTCGGAGGGAGTTGTTGTTGTTGTCTTCACATTAAAAAACGTTCCGATCTCTCTCTACCCAGTTGTCGGAGGGAGTGCCATTGGCCGCAGCAGTATGTACCAGCAACCACCGAGCACGAGCAAAAGCCCATCGCTCAATGAAAAGTCTCGAGTTGAACATGGATTAAGAACCAGAGAGACCGGGAGAGGGGGGAGAGGGGGGAGATGGGAATGCCTCTTGAACTCCTGAAACGATAGACGTGGGCTTGTAAAGCTGACGAGGACGGGGCGGCCTGGCATTCTTGTGTTGCAGAGGTTTTTCCGTTCTTCTTTGTAGTTGCCAGCTGTTTTTTGTCAAGTTTTCCAGAAGGCGACACGGTTGGGTTAGTCTCTCCGAGCAGAAGGTAGACGGTGGTCTCGAAATCTCTGGCCGAGCGTGCAGAAATGACGGGAAGGTCGCTGCTTCTGTACCGTGTTCAAGTATCTCGTCTGGTATCGTGTACTGTAGCAAGTAGTGGCGTGCTCCATCTTTGTTGAGTTGTGGCTGCTGACAACAGCAACGCCAGACGGATAAAAAAACAGTATAATGTACGCGGAGATCGCCAATCGAAAAGGGCACACAAGGCGGAGGCTTTGCGTCTCTACACGGTTATTATTATTATGCGTTCTCAGCCGCAGAACAGCTTACGGTGGGCGGGCGGTTTGTCCCTGTTTAGCGCCATGCCCTGATTAGTGACCACAAAACCACGCACCGCCGCACCCCCGGTAGTATAACTGCAATATAACTGGTAGTTCGGTTTAGCGACCTGCCTTCAATAGCGGCAACATCTCGTCGTGACACTGCTGTAGGTGGGGGCCGCTACACTTGGCTCCCCACTACTTGCTGCTGCTGCTGCTGTATTGCGTATTTTCAACGTCTCCCAGCGAAATTTTGCTGCATGCTGCAACAACCTGTGGTGCACCCCTACACGACGAAAGCAAGACGGAGGGGGTGGAAAGTCGAAGTGCAACATCTCTTTGCACGCAAAGCAGAGCGCACGAGCGCATGCACGCTGAGTACGGCTGTGGGACTTCGACTTCAAAAATATCTCCGGCGGGGGGTTACATACAAGGGTCCATTTCCGAACACAACGTCTCACGTCTGTCTCTATTGTTGTGTGAAGTGTGAGCATATACGAGAAAAACGCCCCGACCTCTGCTCAGCACCTTCTAAAATCCATACTGTACTGCTGACTGGTCCGTGGTGAGAGGTAGCTGTCCACTTGCGGTGGTAGGGTCCGAGTCCCCGCAGGTCGGACAATTAATTGTAGAGGGAAGCACACAGGGTAGGGATACCACGCAATGATTCTGCGGCTTTCGCAAAAAAAAATATAATAGCCCAGATTGTCCCTACCTATGGTTTCTGAGCCGGCTTCCGCAGCACAGCACACGTTTGCTCCTGCGCGGTGTATATCACCAACTGCAGCGAGTCTATTGGGCTCTTTGTCTTGGGGGCGATAGTGGCACCTCGAAGGAGAGATAGGTTACCACCCGTGTTATCGATTTGTCTTCTGCGCTCCATCTCCAGCAAACTCTTCCGGAACAGCTACAGCAGCAAATACGTACAAAAGTGCGGGGTGCTGGGGTGCGGCTTCGCATCGTGTCACTGCCGAGAGGGGATAACATAAGACTACTCTGGGCTTCTTGCTTCACTGCTGTTCCAGGGCTCTTTCTCTCTATCTTGCTCGTGAAGGTGGTCGTGGGAGCAGGGCTCCTCTTCCCGGCGCTAGCGAAAGAGGCGGACGGTATTCTATTTACGTGGAATAGGACAGCTAGACGCGGAGCATCTCAAAGCAAGGGTACACGGCACAGACAGAGGAGGCTGTGCCACAGTAGTAGTGCTATACTTCACACGAGGAGACGCCCCACGTCGTCAACACAGTGGAGGCCTTCGAGCTAGAACGGACGGGCATTATAGGCATCCGCTTATAGAAGAGGCAGCAGGAACAACAGCATCAGCAGCAGCAGCAGCAGCAGCAGCCGTACAGAGCACCCGGAGCATCAGCGATCAGCTTGAGAGGGAAAATGACCGACCGCACCGATGACTTCAGATTGATCGCGGCGGCACTTCCGCCACAACCACGGCGCGCATCGCCACACCCTCCAAAGGTGAGCGAGGCGGCGGAAGGCCTGTCCCCACACAAGAAAATTCATTTTTTTTGTTTGTGGTTGCCATCCACGGTGTTGATGCTTGCTTCGCGGTGTCTCACTGCTTCCGGCATGGCTTGACAAGCAGGGAATGCTGTTTCGCTGTTACGCCGATGATACTTTTATTTTTGAAAAAAGACTTCAGCACATCCCTTTCGACTGGGGTTTATCTCGAACGGGTAGCCTATCTGTGACATTATGTTTACTCTCTAAAACTACAACTCTCGATGTCATCGTCGACGTTGGACGGGAATGGTCGCTTATCGCTCGCAAGAGCACCCGCGCCTCTGACAGCTGCTTGTCGGCATCCCAGCAACACCACCTCCGTAACACCACCTCATGGTGTCTACCCGTAAGAGGCGGAGAGATGGCACCACCGCTAGACCTTGCCTGAACTTTCAACGCTTGATTGCTCCATAACCAACGGGGTGCTGCGGAAAGGGCCCCTACGGAAAGCCCTCGGCGAGGTGTTTCCAAAGCCACCGTTGTCGGTGCTGGCACGATCTTGGTCGTGGAGCAGTCGGGCTGTGAAAATCGTTCCAGCGGCGAGTGCCACAGCCATATCTCCGCCTCAATCTGGCTTTGAAAATCGTTCCAGCGGGGGGTGCCATAGCGATATCTACGTCCCTCTTACGGCAAGCACAAGTATGTTGTCGGGGGCCAAAGAGGGAGTGGATCAAGCTTCGGCGCGTTGGTACCCACCTGCTGCGTTGAAACGCCCGTAGACTTCTTTGCCAGAAGGCAATCAGCAGCCTCTTTTTTGGGAATTATGCGTGCAATCAAAGAAGCACTACCTGTTCGAGATACAACCACTGCTGTAGAAGGGGATGGGTTGAAGGTACAATTACCGTTGTACCGGCGAAATGACTTGCCCGTTCGAGGTACATCGTCCACACCCAGTTCGGGAATGGGAGGGGTTGACGTCTGTGTGCAGTGTTAAGAGTTTAATTTTTCTTCTTAATACATGTACCTGGTACTACTACTGTATGGCATAGCGAATCGATCTCTGTTTTCCACCAAGCTCTACAGCAGGTGCGGCCGGCGAATAAGAAACGCCAACTTGGCGTCGAGGCTCAATTTTTCTTACTTCGTCACCACCGTCGAGCATAGGTATTTCATTATAAACTATTATATAGAGTTTAGCGTAGGATCAACAGCTGGAAAAGGTGTGTTTGTCAGTCTACTTATCTTATTTTTCGCGCGAAGACCCAAGCCTAGTTTACGTTTGCGGGCCGCAACTGCCGTACGTGAGAAGCTGTTCGGCAGTCGCTGCCGGAGACGCGCCATCCCACTGCGTTCGTGCCAGAAAACTCGGGTCACCACATGGCCAGCAGGCCCCCACCCATGATCTACGATATTGACGCATAGTCATGGCTCCAATATCAGAGGATACCTTATTGGAGGGGGCTCCGGTACAAGAGGATCGAGGGCCTTTGTCACACCGCCATCTTAGATCGAACCCACGATTGTACATCATTTCCATCACGCAATCGTCAACCTTCGTCTCTACCGTGGGCACTCCTGCTAGCCTCTATCCTACCCTCATGCTTATACGTGGGCTTTAGCGCAGGGGGTGGTGCAGGCGGAGCCCCCTTGTATTGGCCTAAAACATGCCATAATTGTGCGTGTCTCTGCACCCGTGGGTAGTTTGGCATCCATGGGGTTATTTACTATTTACCACAGGGGTGGATGCGCGCAAATTATCAAGAAGAACGACAGCCTGTTGCCCACAGGGGAGATATCGCTGCAATAAATGCTGCTCGGGGAACCGCAAAAATTCAAGATGGTGATCATACAATACTTTCATGAATGCATTGGTAATCTGTCCCGGACTCTTCATCTGTGGAAGAAGAGATGGGCACCGATCGGTGTGTTCTAGCACAGGGGCTGCGATAAAATGCGAAGCGAAGAAACGGTGTAGAAAACGATCGCACTCGGGTGCCATAGGACGCAAAATCTTGCGGTAGGTAGACCAATAGTCTTCACGGCCTCATTTGGCGCTCTAAACAAACCAGATAGACCAAGAATATGTAGCCATATTGTGCACAAGTGTACGTACGATACCGAACGTAAGACGCCTGTTGGAGATACTACCACAGCAGTCGAAGGGATGTGTTTTTTTTTTTTAAGTCTTTGCAGTGAATAGCGAAAAACGCCTGCCGGGTAGTTTTCTGGGCTCATTTCGAGTCTGTATATGCCTATTGCTCAGTGTTTTGTCAGCCTTTTCTTTTTCCGCGTCGCCCAGAAGGAGCAGCGAAGCCGCGCTTGGGTGTGGGCTAGGGCGGGCTTGTTATCCGACTGCTGTTGTTCTGCCATATAAAGGTTGATGAGAGGGAGTTTTTTCTTCCCTCGCGAGTGATTCGTTCCTCGCGTTTCCCATGTTCCGTATTCATGCTAATCTGCGCACAAGCAGTCGGGGTAAACATTCCATCGACGACCCCCGACCTAGGTGCGATTCGCCTGAACTCTTGCGTGCCCTGTATGTGTGTGTGTTTTTTTTTTTTTTTATCAGCATCGACCGCGCTAACCGGCTGACCAATCACAAGACGTCAGTCTTAGCGCGGTTGAAAACACAAAACACTTCTAAATGCCATTAAACTGGGACCTCGTGAGGGGGCATCATGGGGGAGACTACACTATCCTTCGGATCAAAGACAGTGTGTGTGTGTGTGTGTGTGTGTGTGTGTGTGCATGCCTGCTTGTTGCCACCGTACTCTTATGCCCTGGGTGTGCGCGCGCTCTTACTACTGCCGCTGCCGCCGCTACTGCTGCTGCTGCTGTTGTTGCTGCCGTTGTTGCTGTCGCAGCCGAAGCGCCCAGCGGCAGCAGGCGGGGCGGCGGGAGCGGGGGGCGTGGCGCATCAGGTGTCCACGTTGGGGGAGTTCCACTCGGCGGCATCCTCCATCGCCAAGAGCATCCACAAGGTGTCCCAGAAGCTGGAGCACCTAACGAAGTGTGAGTTGGGAGTTAGTTCCGTTGTTTTGTAATACTGCGAGGTAGAATTCCTTGCGTTTACCGGCACAGAATTGTGTGTACATGATGTCGTGTTCGTGACGTTCGCTGGTGGGCTGTCAAAGGAGGATTCGTTCAGTGCGTACCCGCTGCTACAATAGGCGCTGCTTCATGGTGTTCCAAAAGCTGGAATATCTGCCAAAGTCTTGAATATGTCGGGGGGTGGGGGTGGGCGGGGCAACAGTGCCATTGGTACATAGCGTCCCTAGCGAGGCTCACGCAGCGGGAATATGGTACGACTTGAAATTACCATGGTAACTTGTGTACAGCCCGGTCCAGTTTCTGCCCGAGCTCGTCGCTTGCACCACCCAGTTTGTACTTCAGTGCTGCCCATGGTAGGTCTCACTTCTCCCTTGTGTTTTTCTTCTCGTGGCAGTGGTTCAACAGCGTGGATTGTTCAACGACCCGGTAGCAGAGATCAACTCTCTCGTGCACGTGATCAAGCAGGAGATGCAGGACCTCAACACCGAGCTGGACGCCTCGCAGGTATGATGAAAAGAGGCTCGCTGGTATTGCGCCGCATCTTGCCGGTGATTGCGCCGCGTTATGCGGGGAGATAGAGGATACGGTACCGGGGCGGGGGTGGCGTAGGGGGTGTACTCATCGCTGTGCTTGCCGTAGTCGTTAGACTGTTGACCTTGCATCCCTACAAAGCCGGGACGGAGCACGCCGGGTTTTCACAGGACCAGGCTCTCGAATCACCAAGCGCGAAGGGGGGGTAACTCATTTGTTGCATCCCTGGTGGTTGACCTGGTGACCAGCACTCCTTCGTTTTTGCAGACCGCGCACCGCTCCTACTCTTGGGAGAGATGCCTCGAACGTTCTATGCGCGCACCCGTACCGCGTTCTTTTGCAAGGAGAAGGGCACAATCATTTTTTTGTTCTCGGACAATTGATTGTTGTCCTGTACATCCCTACAAAGCTCTGGGCCAGCCCCACTACGCAGTGTGTCTGTTTTCGTATTTGTTGTGGCGACAGTCCCCGACTTTTCGTGGTGAGACGTGTACTACACTTTTCAGTGTATGTAGAGTACTACCACTTTTCAGTGTTTTTTTTCGTACAACTAAATACAACCATCCACTAGTGGTACCATGGGAGGCCCGTGAGGCGAAATTTGTGACTTTTTTATTGTTGTGCTTTGGCGTCAGTTTTACACTTGCCATCGAGGGCATGTAGGTATATAGAGAGTGGGAGCGAGAGAGGGAGAGAGAAGGACAGACAGACAGACAGACACATGAAAGAGACAGAGCGAGAGAGACAGAGGCTGGAAAGAGACAGAGACACACAGACAACAAGAGAGATACATGGACAGAGACAGAGACAGAGATAGAGAAAGAGAAGGGAGACTGACAGTAATTGTCTTCGCCGTTCGTTGTCGTCGATCGCGCGTTCCTATTGCTCCAGACGTACGTGAATCGGCGAAAGCAAGAGATGGGAGATCGGAACCAGGCTGCCAACCACAGCGTCAACGTCGTGGGCCAGCTGAAGATGGAGCTTATCAACACAGCGAAGGTGTGTCTTGTGACTTACTAAATGCTTGCATGCGATCTGCTAGCTCCCGCCGACGCTTCCGAGATTCGTTCCCACCCTCTGGACGCGGCTTCCTTTGGAACTCCTGGAATTGTTCTTGGCAGGTTTTGGTTATATCTCTGAGTGTGTGTACATGTGTAAATCTTGCGCTTGTTTTTTCATCTGTTTTGTCATGTTTTGCGTTTTGCTTCGGAGTGCGGTCGAATTCGGTCGTGTTGTGTTCACCATCCTCGTATACTATGTCCACACCGAAATTTTTCGTGTGCCGCACACCGCACACATCCATCCCGCCTAGCTTAATTGAAACAGACATTAGAATGATTTCACCCTACCGAAGGGGATCTATCTCCACATGTTGCTTGATTGGTTGACACAGTGTCTCAAGACACGCAGAGCAGTGGGAGGCCCTCAGTAGTGCCGGTTTGGACCAGACGAGCATACCAGACGAGCATACCAGCGCTATTCAGAGCCACCGGCACAATTCTGAGTACAGAACGACTTGGTTTTTCCGTGTGTTCCCGCCGAAAACACCGGCACTATACCGGGCATTGGCACTATTCAACCGGCACTACTGAGGGCCCCCCGCTGCCTGTCCGAACCCCCTCACCCAACAGACGTTCAAGAATGTCCTTCAGCAGCGATCGAACAACCTCAAGGCCCAGAAGGACCACAGAGAGATGTTCGTTGGCAGCCAGTCGTCCACCCTGGCGCTCGCGCCGCCGCCGGCCTACCGGCCGCTAGGTGAGGGGTCTCGTTTTGCTGTCGTTATCGTTGTCGTTATCGTTGTCGTCGTTGCTGTTATTGTTGTTGTTGTTGTTGATCTTGGTTGTGGGGGGCGTTGCTGTTGTTTTGTCGCCGTTGTCGTTGTTGTTGCGGTTGGTATTGGTGTCGTTTTGCTGTAGTCGCGGCCAAAATGTCTTGGGAAATAAGCTGCTCCCTCTCCTTTTTTGTTTTTCCATCCATGCCCCCCCCCCCGATTTTGTATGTTTTCCCGTCGTTCATGTTGGGGTACCTACCCCCGCATTTCACTGACGGGGCCCCCCCCCCCCCCCGGATCCTGCTAAACCTACGACACCATTTTTTTGCAGGCATTTCGCCCTTGAAGCCGTCTGGCGAAAACGGAAACGGGAGATCATCTCTGGGCGGGGGACAGGGGGCCAACGGCGGTCCCCCCCCAGGGGGCGCGTTAGGGGCGGCGGGGGGGGTGGGGGGCTCGCCGCTTCCTCGACCAGGGCAGGTGGGATGGATGGCCGTGCGTACGTACGGCTCAGGAGTGGCACGAGGGCGGACTATTATTGTTCCGCAAGTAGACTTGCTGCTCCGGGACTATTCTTGTATGACTCCGATATGTCAAGTTGTTGCTCACAAAAAAAAGTGTTGTTGTTGTTGTTGTTGTTGTTGTTGTTGGTGGTGGTGGTGGTGGTGGTGGCGAGATGATGTCTTCGAAAAACGTCTGGACGCTTTGGACGTACACGGAAAAAAACGTGTGTATACTGTAGTATGCATGTGTTCAAGTTCAATTCTGGTCTAACGACTACAGCACGCGCTTTTCGTGAGTACAACCCTCACCCCCTCCCATTGTGATAGGGGCTTTCACCCACACGACCAGTGAGTCGTGTTCCCGAATCGATCGTTACGCCAGTACGGAACGCGCCACCGCTTCCGAACCTACATTTGTATTCTTTTGGCCGATGCTCGTCTCTTCGTTTGTGTATGGGGTGGGGCACTGTACCCCCACGGCGAATCTACAATATATTATTGTACTAGGTTTTAGTGTAGGCTCTTGACTCAGCACCTGTTGTTTTGGCCTGGTTATTTTATTTTGCAAGTTTTTTCGCTCAAGTTCTGAAGTGGTGGCGCGTGTGCTGTATCAAGCACGAGGCGTCGTCCCTCCCGTGTGCGGTGTCTCCCGCTGTGTCCACAGCGGTTCCCGTGCCTCGGAGGTTAAAATTTTCCTCCGTTGTGCCTACTATCTACTACATGTACAGTAGAGGTTCCCTGTTTAAGACCGCTATGGTCTAAGGGAAAACACCGGCCTTACATTGAGCACCCGGCACAATTTCAGAGCATTGATACAGCTTGAATTTTCCACGTGTGACAAGCTATTTCACCGGCCTTAAACAGGGCAACCGGCCTATAATAGGCGGTCTTAAACAGGGACATCTGCTCTCTTGGTTTTTCCAACCCGGACGGATCCTTCGTCGTTGTGGCACGAGGCCGGTGTTTCCTTTCAATAGGCCGACATTTTATGCACACCTTCTTGAAGTCGGACGAAAAAAAACCCATGCATGACCTCGGGTCCCGCGCCTAATGTACATTTTATTTTTTGTTTTTCTAGAAGATAGACATCATCCAATTTATTTATTTCGTATATTTAGCTTTTAACTTTTTTGAAAATATACATGCAATCAAAGCAAGATTGCTAGTTGGAGATACTATGTTCCCACAGCTGTAATCGAAGGGGATGGGTTCTTTGTACTGAGTGGCGGAAACACCGACTGGATACTGGGCTTATGTTTTTTTGGTCTGTTGGCAACCCCAGGTGACGTCATATCCCGAAGCGGAACAAGAGGCTTCGGCGGATACGCCGTTGATAGCGGCGCAGGGGCAACAGCAACAGCAGCAGCAGCAGTTTATGCAGATGCAGCTGGCATCTGGAAATCAGGTGCGTAGAACACAACAAAGGCGTCGAATCCTTGAACATGTTTCGGGCGGTAGGTTCTTTGTTTATTGCGTTGGTTGTCGCCCTCTTTTCTGCTTGTTTTTTGTGTTTTCCTTTGTTTGCTGTGTGCTTTATATAGTCTCTACCGCTGTTGAAAAGCATGAATCTACTTCTTGTCTTTTGTGAATCTCTTTTATTTTGCCACACCCAAACAACGTATATTGCGCAGAAATAAAATCGCATACACAGTACACCCAACCGCTCAGGAATCTCGCAGGATTTATTAACATGGCATCACGAATGTGTACTGGACGTTTCTTTTTTGCCTGGTTTTATTTTGTTTTAGGTGTAAGTTTTGTACACTCCCGGTCCTCCAGCGATGATGCGCACTGCTGCATGGTCTGTGATGCTTGACTCGTGTTTTTTGTTTTTATTTAATACAACAAATCCATCTCGTATCGTAGATAAGGGACTATTAGAAACATTGGCACTGAATTCATAGCGTTTTTCAACACACACACACAATAAATCCATCTCGTATCGTAGACAACGGTCTAGGAGAAATTGAGAATATTTCCATCGCGTTTTTCTTATTCTATCTTGTTATGCAGGGGTATCTGGAGTCGAGATCTTCGGCTGTTCAAGAGGTGGAGGGGCACATCGCCGAGCTGGGGTTGATCTTCAACAAGCTCGCGACAATGCTTCAGGACCAGCGAGAAATGGTTGAAAGGTGTGGTTTCTATTGTCGTCGTTACTCGAGGGTGTTGCTCGCGGTGTTGGTGTTGGTGGTGGGGTGTGGTGTTGTTGTTGTTTCTGTTGAAGCTATTGCTGTCGTTTATGTTTCGTTGTTGTCGTTGTTGTCGTTGTTGTCGTTGTCGTTGTCGTTGTTGCTGTGGCTTCGGTTGATGCTGTTTCTGTCGTTAGTGTGTCATCGTCGTCGCCGCTGTTGCTGATGTGGGTGTTGCTGTCGGCGGTGGTGGTGGTGGTGGTGCTGCTGCTGCGGTTGCTGCTTTGGTGGACGTTGTGCTTGTTTCGAATTGGCATAAACAACGTGCCGGCACCATCGTCTTTTGGCTGTTTGCTAATCGCCATGTTGCTGCTGATGTTGATGGCGTGTTGTCGTCGTCGTATGTGGGTGGTCAAATGCTCACGTCAAAGGCAGGCACTACTTTGTAATTGGTACCCCGCCCCCCCCCCCCGTCGCCTGTCCGTTTGGTTCCGGGAACAACCAATCAGCGTTCACGACAACGTCGAAGATGCGGGAGAGAGCGTGAACCAGGGGCACTTGGCACTCCTGAACACGATGCGATCCCTCAGCAGCAACAGGCGACTCGCGCTGTCCGTATCGGGAATATTGCTGCTGTTTGCGCTCTTCTTTTTCGTGTTTCTCGTTTGAGTAGATTACCATTTTCGCGACGGTCTCCATGTCGCAGCCGTTATCTGTTGTCGTCGACATTTTTTTTTCGGGGGGAAGGGGGTCCGGTTTCTTAGATACCCGCCCCTCCCACGGTGGTGAATGGTTGTTAGGGTGGTCGGTTGATACCTGTTTGTCTCGAGAAGGAATAGCAGCATTCAACGTAGACAACGTATGCAATATATTGCCCAGCAGTGTGCAAACGAGATTCGCGTGGTTAGTGTCGTTGTGCACGGTGAAATTGTTCTGGTCTGCCTTGTAGTTGGCGTACCAAGAGAATGGCGTTTTAAGCTGTCGAGGAACAGAGGCACACACTAACTATTTCAGCGTTGTGGCGTCAGTGTTGGCTTCTCCATTATGGCGGCAATTACCGCAAGTCGCATTAATTAGATGACACGCCCCCCGGACCCCTTGACCGAATTACGCTCGATTACTCTCCGCGACGAAAAGAGGATGACAAAATCAAATCACGGTACAATTTTTTCGGGAGACTTGCTCTCGACGAGACGGTTCCAACGCCGCCCTTTTCGGCACCTTCACTGCTTTACTTGCGGAGAAATCGAGACTTCGAAATTCGGTCCGGGGGTGTGATATCTTATCTTTGCAACCTACGGCAAGTGTTGCATCCATATCCGCATGATGATCACATGGTACGACAGTGAACACCAGGACGTGTGGACCTCGTCACCTATGAGAGTGCAGGCTTCATTAATACGTTCGTGTACACTGGTGTGTAGTAGGGTGACCGTGGTGCGTAACCACGTCCTTGCCCGCCGCAGGCACCGCGCCACCGCACATGAAGGGTCAAATTCTACGGTACCCCCCCCCCCCCCCAATAAAATCGGCGGAGCGCTGCCGTAGCACCGCCGTGCCTCGCATCATCATGTCAACGGGCTGTCTGCTGTGTTCACCCTGTAGAGGAGCATGAGAACTCGGCCAGGGTCATTTCTCGCATATCGGAGGGAGTCTGTTGTTTTTCCTCTGGTGGCGTTAGCACTATTGGGCTCTACCTCGCCTACCATGTGAGAGAACAGTCGACACACAGCAGCACCGCATGCCACATGTGTGCGGGCAACCGCCGCAGGTACAGCAGTACAGCAGTAGTTGCACCGCATGCAACAACTTACAGTAGTAGTGCGCAAGGTCAACACCCTGCACATGATGCACCTCCAGTTCGCTGGGAATTCAGCTGCTCTCGTTCCCCATATTTCCCCCCGAGAGGCGTGCGACTCGAGTGGCTAGCTGCTGCACACGGACCTCTTCTCTGCCAAGTACCGCCGTATGCAAATGTAGTTTTCATCAGTTTGTCGTAAGGTGCATGTACAGGGATCCCTCGGTTGCATGCGGTGCTGCTTTGAAGGGTAACGTGGTTGGTGAATGCTGGCGCGCCAAGAATGGGGGCATTGTATTTGCTAACGCGAGGTGTATCGGCATTTGCACGCGTTTGATGCAGATGTTCTGGGTTCTGCCCTTCCGTATGACAAAGGCCTTTTGTACTGGATATCATATCATAGGAGACACATTTCTCCAGTAAATCGACGTTCCAGAGACTTCATGTCGCAGGTGTAGGGCAGCTACAGCAGGCACTACGCTGTTTGCGTGGCTACAGCAGTCTTTTATCTGTTTTTCGTTCCGTCGGTTTAGGTTGGCGTGTTATGTTTTGATTGGTTTCGATGTGTCTTCGTCATGGCCTCTGAGCATGCCGACGTGCGTGTGCCGAGCAGGACTGTAGTCCAGACCACAGTAGCACCCATACCTCCGTGTATCCCGTCTTCCGATACACAGAAGCAGAAGTACAAGACGGCGATTTCTAAAGCCAATGTCACACTTGGCACCCACCCAGCCAGCACTAAGCATCTATGCGTCAAGTATTCACATTTTACGTATGAGGCGCCTAGGCTTAGGCGTTGAACTATGCGCGCTCGTATAGACCGCCGTGTTCATATGCATGTGAGTCGAACCTGCAGCACAACGACATTCCCCTCCACCGCCCCCGTCTACACACAACAGGACGGTAACCGCATTTCTACCGACGAACCTTATGGGGAGTTCAACAAGAGCCATGCTTTTGCCGAGATGGCACAACGGGGCGGCGTTGGTATCCGCTACTGCTCGATTCGCTTCCAGACGAGCTGCACATAGCACGCTGGCGCTCAAGGGTGTCGAGGGGGGGCCGGCGGCTGGAGGCAGGAGGGGGGGGTGGGGCCCCGCGATGATGTCCGCGTCGACGAGCGCGGCCGCGACGGCTGACGCTGCGGTCTTCGACGCCACCGGTAAGTGTCTGTGATGTTGGGGCTGGCTCGTGTTGTGATGGTGGAGGGGAGTGAGGCCGGCTCATGCTGTGGTGGTGAATAAAATTAGGCCGTCGTGACGCTGTAGGGAGTCAGGCCGGTTCGCGTTGTGGTGGTGGACGGGAGTGAGGCCTGTCGATGTCGTGGTGGTAAAGGGAATGAAGCCGGTTCATGCTGTGGGGTGTGAGTTCCAACCGTGGATAGTGTCCTGGGTGTGGCAGAGGCATGCATACCGGTCCGGCTCCGAGTACAACCGAACCCCCCAAAAAAACGGCGAAGGCTGCCGCTGCTGTTATCATGCTAAATACGAAGTTTTCCTCGTTGAGATAGGATGCGTGTGATGCACGTTGTACGTCGTGGAGGTAGGTGCCCCATGCTCTCGACAGTCCGACCCGCGATTTCCGAGGAGGAGCGGTGGAATGGATAGCTGTTGTAGCGGTGTTTTGGAGTCTCCGTTCCTGCCGTGTCAAACAGCAGTCGAATCATCAGTGTGCTGTATCGTTCAGCGATTCTATTGTCCCTTCCCCGCTCCCGCCCGTTTCTGCCGCGTCAATAGCCAACATATCGAACTTTCAAGTTGGTTACTTCGATGCCCATGGCCGTGGGTGAGCCATCAGTTTGCTGGTCGTTCAGCCTTTTCGCTTGTCCCCTCCCGTCCCCGAACCCGTTTCTCCCGTATCGACGGCAGTGTGCCACCCGTTTGCTGAATTGTTCACAGCCCTTTCGCTTTTTTTTTCCCTTCCTTTCTCCGTGCTTCTGCCGAGCAGCGGCGGGTGTGGCGAGTCCTCGCGACACGATCGTCGATGCCGTGCGCGAGGCGCTAGTCGACGCCTTCGGTGAGAAGTTCCGGGACTCCAGGCCCCTGGTCACGTCCGCGACGAAGCCGGAGTTCGGGGACTACCAGGTTTGGGTTTGCACACCGTTGTTGGCGTTGGTGTTGTCGCTGTTGTTTTTGTTGGTAGTGATCGTGGTAGGGGCATGTTGTCGTTGTGTCTGTTGGAATATGAGGCCTTTTGGTGGCAGCGTTCACCCCTATGGTGCATGCATGTTTCACGATGTGCGCATCCCACCCGGACTACCAGGTGTTTGGGTTTTGCACAGCAGTCGACAGCATCGTCGTTGCTGTTGTTGGTGTTGGTGATGGTGTTGACGTTGTTCTCGTTCGAGATCCCCACCACCTCCATGCTCCGTACTCTCTCCAGAGGACGCCGCGCGTGATCAATGTATCTAACAGCTATGTAGGGCCATGCAAAACATGGGTACGCCCCCACACACGCACACACCTTTGGCAGAGTAGGAAGGAACGATTGGGAGATCGGTGATCGGTCCTGCGGGAACAATTCTCCGTCCTCTCGAAGGCATGTGGTCAATGGTTAACAGCTTAGGCATGCAAGACATACGAGTACGACCCCCCTGCCCCCCCCCCCCCCTCCCTCATCGACAGTGCAACGCGGCAATGGCGCTCGCGAAGCCCCTCAAGTGCAAGCCCCGCGACGTGGCCTCGAGCCTCGCCGAGAAGCTGGGGCCCCGCCTGTCGGCCATCTGCGAGGCCCCCGAGATCGCCGGACCCGGGTTTATCAACCTCAGGCTCAGGGACGGTTTCGTCGCCGCCAAGGTTAAGAGCATGGTGGGAGACGGCGAGCGGCTGGGCGTCCCGAGGTATATATTGTACATAGCCTAATCTGTTGGTGGCACCACGCACACACCGAACTTTTTTTTTTTCTCTTTCTGCGTCATCCCCACTCCTTATTTTTTTTTCTCTTGCTGCGTCACCCCTTTTTTTTTTCTCTGTCTTGGTCATCCCCCTTTTTTTTTCTCTTTCCGGGTCATCCTTTCTTTTTTTTTCTCTTCCTGCGTCATCCCTTTCTGTTGTTTGCCGTTGCTCCCGGTTTGGTTCGGGTCTGCCACCTACGGTACTAGAGTATATACGTAGTGTGGGCGAGCTAAACACGGCGACTAGTTGGCGGGAAAATATTCAACAAGGGCGGGGGTGGTCATGGTCGGCACAATGGAGCAACGGCGACGATCATGAAGCCGGCGTTCTTGCTCGGCAAAAAGGAGCGCTCCCTGGTTACCCCCTACACGTGGCACCCATCGCTGCTTTGCGCCATGTAACCGTGAAGAAAGACACCACACATGCTTCTCTCGTTGTTACAGTCGTTAATACGTACACGCTACCCTCGTTTGCGTACAGACACACACCGCTTTGCTCTCGGTTGTCGGGGCGTCCACGCACGTGTGTTTCTTTTGTTGGCATCGACCGCGCTTACGGCTTGCTGCCCAAACAGTTCCTGTAGCGTTCACTTTCGCCCCTGTATCTGGCCCGCGGTGCGGCTCTCTTTGCCGATGAACAAAACATTTTTTAGGGAGTTGCGCGTAGAGCTCAGGTTCCTCTTCGCGCGTGGTTGTAAGTCTATTCCTTTTTTTGTTTGTTTTGGGGGGGCCCGCAGGGTAACGAACCCCGAGCGAGTGGTGGTGGACTTCTCCAGCCCCAACATCGCGAAGGAGATGCACGTGGGACACCTCCGCAGCACCATCATAGGGGACACCATCTGCCGGGTGCTCGAGTTCAGAGGGCACGATGTCGTGAGTCTTGTCCTTGTTTGTTCTCTCTCGTGGGTTTTGTTGGTTGCGTTTTTTTTTCGGAATCGGCGTCTGCTGGCGTTGTGTTGTTCGTCGAAGTTTTTCGGAATCTGTGTCTGTTGATGATTGAGATAGAATATTCTCTCTCTCTCTCTCTCTCTCTCTCTCTCTCTCTCTCTCTCTCTCTCTCTCATGATTTTCGCTGCAGCATGTGTGAGTGTTGTACAGCAGTGTGTCACGTGTGTTCGTTCGTTCCACAAGAATCAGAACGCTGACCAGCTGCCCAAGGAAATGAAGTGAGGTCAATTCTTAGCAGATCGAACGAATGACTTCTATTTCGTACCTCTTTTGTGCTTTTTCTTTAGCCGACGATGACCTTGTTACTCGGTCGACCAATCAACGACCCGTTCTATTTCGAGAACCCCCCCCGGTAGTGAAAGAACTCGAGGCGGCGCAGATGAAAGCAGCGAAAATCATCCTAGGATGCACCAAGCGCACAAGTAATGCAACCGTAAGGGCAGAATTGGGGATCCAATCCCTACGGTCGGGAAGAGACGCAAGGAAGCTGACATGGCAGTATCGCATGTGCGGGATGGGAGAGGAGAGGTTGCCGAGAATAGTATAGGAGGCGAAGTGGGCAAACAAAAAGAGGGGTAGACAACCCACGGAATGAGCCAAGGTTGTAGAGGACGTATGGAAGGGGTTAGACATCGACGAAGATGAAACGATGGAAACGGAGGGTCTAAAGGGGTTTAAGGAGAAGATATCTGTTGCTTGTGCCGAGTGAGAAGAACAGAATCTAAGGAAAGAAACCGAGGATAAGGAGGGTCTAGAGGTGTACGGGATGTTGAAAGAAGGACTAGGGTTCAAGGACTACCTACATGGACCAATGGATACAGGGACAAAGCTTGAGGTCAAATCCAGGACCGGGGGCATAGGCCTGCGAGAGCGTCGACGAAGACATAGGACGGTAGACGACGTAGACGACAAGTTCAAATGTGATTGCGGCTTCGAATGCGAAGACCGTGTTCATGTAGTCGCGGAATGCCAGTTGTACAAGAAGGAGAGGGAAGTGTACATGACTGAGCTGGGAAGAATACAAGATACGTACAGGGAGATGTTTGAGGCATGGAATAGAGAGGAGAGGACGGTAGCTGTACTGGGGAGTAGGAAGTGGTTTGAAAAGGCGGGAAGGGATATTGTTAGGATAGACAGACTAGGGAAGACATTTTTGAGCCACCTTTAAAAAAGTAGGAAGGAACGATTGGCCATCGGTGATCGGTCTTATGGGAACAATGCTCCGTCCT